TGTGTAAGCACTGCTCAGCAGTAACAAAAACATCCCCGTGTTACCAACACTGTTTTCAGCACAAATCCAAAACATGGCCCCATACTAGCTACTATGAAGAAAACTGACTCTATCCCAGCCAAAACCAATGCACACCTTCACCTTTATTTCCTGACTAGCACCCATGCCTAAATATCTACAGCTTCCATTAGGAATCAACCTTTCATCCTGTAACATCAAGATTCTGAGGACGGGTATTTCTGAGTAGGCTGCTACCCCCAAAAAAGTAACAGGAGTCATCATAAGCATGACCTGCCCTTTGCCAAAGAAGAAACCTTTGGATCATTAATGTAAGTACTTCTGGGAATCCAAAGTAGACAGACACATAGTATATTTGCAGCCCTAAGTAAGGCACCTGCATTCGCCGGAATGGTTTGAGTCTCAGGCTGCAGACGTGATCCCAGGCACCAAAACCTAAAAGAGAAAAAGGACACAAATGCATGGAGATGCAGGTTCACATGTGACACTGAGACCCAAACAAAAATGAAGCTCACTGCACACTCTCCTCCTCCCTCCCTGACTCAGTGCCCAGACTCTGCTTGCACCATCCCTAGACAGGGCCAGGTCTGCTCAATACTTTCACAGCTCCAGCATCACATTATTTTACTGTTAACACAAGCCAAGAGAAAAGAAACAAGAGCTTTCCGTGAACGCTGTGACTTAACAGTCAACTCTCACTGTCCGATCACCGAGTAACAAAACGGACACAGAAACGCACGGCCATCACTGTTTAGAACATGTCTTTTTCCATAAGGAATCAAGGCTCAAATCTGTCTTTAAAATGAAAATTAATCAGGAGAAGTGAGTTACCAGACTGCAGAGCACTAACTACGTGCTGCTTTTGTGAAGAGAACATTCCAGATGCTAGAGAGAGCACCTTGCCAACCTTTCACTAGCCTAATGTCACCAATATTTACATAATAAATCAGACCAAGATACCGGAACACAGGCCCCTGTTATTAAGAGAAGCCTGATTTAATCACCAGAATTCAGTATATAGAATACTAAGACACAAAGGCAATTAATTCCGTTGAGTTTAGGGAACTGAAGGCAGCACATGCTCCAAGGGGGTTTGTTTAAACAAAATAAAAACAGCTCAAATATACTGTTAAAAATGCAAACGATAGAAATTATATTTACTGCTTAGGAGGGTTGCCGATCCTGGGGAGACGGAACTGACCCTGTTACTGTAAGTGTCTGGCATGTGATCATATTCTTTCCCAGGACCAGCCTCCAGCAAAGCAATCTTCTTATCGTGGAAGTGGATATCATGCCCTAAAATAAGCAAATACATGCTTTGTTACAACGCTCCTGCCAAAACCCTCATTTCTTATTTCTCTATCAGTAACGCCTACGCATTTTTGTAATAAGATAGAGTAGATGCAAAACTTAATAAAGAAACACATTTACAATATAGGTTTTGACTAGGCAGATAAACTCTTGTGTTTTAAAGCCTTTTGACTACAATCCTGTTACTGAGACTGACAACCCTTTTGGAGTTAAAGCAAGGATTAAACGTCTTCTTTTTGTACACAGTTTACATTTTTGTACAAATTTGTGCATATTTTGTTATGAAAGTTCATTATTGAAGTATTAACAAGTGAAATCTGCAATGTTTACTCCAAGCACAGAACACATTTTTCAGAGCTTAAACATAAATTCACTAATTAGTAAGAGATCAGAATAAAACTTCTGTGATACTTAGCAACTACATTTACGTTTTCTTTATCCTTATATTCTGACAATGGAATAGCACAGGCACTTCAGACTTTAACTTTCAGTTAAAGAGAACTGAAAAAAATTGAAGAGATGACTCAAGTAGAGTAAATCACGCTACAGCTGAATTAGCCATGCTTGTTGCATCTGACCGCTATGATTGCGGAAGGTACCGAGACCAGAAACGGTGTCCTTGTAACATCCAGAGTTTACTACTACAGCAGTCCTAATAACAGCAGTATCTTGAACATATTTTCTAGATTATGTCGAACACAACCTCATCTCTTGAAAGGTCCCAAACCTGCATGTTAGCCTTAGGTATCGCCACTGGAGGGGATCCTTATGCGGCCTCAGTTCCACTGTGGTCGTCTTTAACAATACGAGCAGAACAATGACGAGTTTGCAAGGTAAACCCTTATACTTGTAAAGCACTTATTGCTTGGGACCTCCGCTCTTTTGCTCTTCTTCGCACTTTTTTCTTCAGGCTTCTGTCACTATTACACCCTCCTGAATCAACGTTACAAATAAAGCAGCAGCCAGTACTCTCAGGATCTCCAGTGATGCAAACCAAGCACAAACCCATTTTCACTTGGTATTCCAGTGTGTAAAATACAGGGTTAGAGAATGAAACTTAGGATCAGAAAAGCATTTTCAGCTATGGCTGACATTATCCACCAGTGATGCGAGGGTGACCATGTTTGACAGAAATACCACAAGTAGTCTACTGAATTTAAAGTAATGGCTACATTAAAAAATATATATAAATAGGATGAGGCTCATCATAGCAAACAGGTATCCAAACAGCTTTAAGTCAGCCTTAGAGTGCCGTCACAAGAGGATGCGGGAATAAGGAAATTCCACAACAGGACCTTGAACGTTAAGATCCAAACCGGTAACCACATAGTTTATCTCACACTGTCACCAACAGAGATTAATAATTAAGGTCGACTTATGAGAGTACGCAATGCTCCACACACCGAAACACGAAGCTTTTGGGAAAACTCCCCGTTTTAAGTTTTTGTGCAACCGGTGAGACGGACAGCGAGGGCAGCGGGGCACAAAACCCGCGACTCGCTGCACTCATCCAAACCGGTAACCACATAGTTTATCTCACACTGTCACCAACAGAGATTAATAATTAAGGTCGACTTATGAGAGTACGCAATGCTCCACACACCGAAACACGAAGCTTTTGGGAAAACTCCCCGTTTTAAGTTTTTGTGCAACCGGTGAGACGGACAGCGAGGGCAGCGGGGCACAAAACCCGCGACTCGCTGCACTCACAAAACACCGTGCAGGAGGCCCAAAGGCCTCCGAGACCACCGCGGCA